AAAGGCAAGGCGAAGGATAAAGAAAAGAAGTGTTGGTGCAAGCCTTGTTCGAGGAAAAGGCGAGTTCACAAGATGGAGGCTCGAAGGCGAGGTATGAGTAGAATGGAGGATGGTTGGATTTGGCGAGCTGGGGATTGTATTGGGTTGGATGGATGGGATCCATGGCCGTCGGGAGAGCTTAAGGAATCAAACGAGCACTTGGAGTCGGTTGGCGATAAGGGTGCGAGCACGAGCAAAGAACGCGCATCATACCTTGATGCGCGTAATGGGTCGAGGGGTCGAATTGGTGCACGGGTGAGTGACGTCAACGCAAGCAATGCACGATGGTGCGCATCGGAAGGATCGGCCACGGAGATTGGCAGCACGCGGATGGCAGCGGGCGTACGCGGGTGCGTGATAGGCGATCAGGCCACGGGGGCGGCTGGGATGCGCTGTGCAGTGGGTGCACGGGGGCGCGCGGTAGAGGATCGGGACGCCGGGGCACTGGAGGCGACGCGCGAGGCATGGGACGACGGCGCGAGCGGCACGGACATGAGAGACGTGCGCGGCACTCGCGCGGGTGGCAGGGACACGCAGGATGTAGGCGGCAGCGGCGATGGGCGCGCGATAGCGCGCAAGTGCGGGACAAGCACGGATGACCCAATCCACGCGGGCGTAGGAATGCTGGGCGATGATGAGTACGCGCGCGAGATAATCGGCACAAACGAAGTGCGCGCAACAGCATGCGCGTGTGAGGGGCGCGCGCGAGTCCTAGTTTCCAAAGGACTAGGCGAGAGGGCTGGAGAGGCGGCGTGCGCATACGGGGCACACGGGGCGCGCGATACCGCGCGCGCCGAGGATTAGGAAAGCCGATGGCGCGCGCATGTGAGGCGGTCGAATAAGTTGGGGCGGCGACTAGGAGATTCTAGATTTGCTTGGTGTGCAAGCCAAGCATTAGTTATTTGGTAGTAATAGGATTTTATTGCTTTCTAGTGTTAGGATTTCTATTATTGCAAGATTTAGGAGATCTAGTTTATTTAGGCTTAGATTTAATTTATGCACCTATAAATACCCCATGTACCTCATCATACAAGTTGAATTGAGTATTGAATTAGTGAGCCAATCTTGAGGGGGAACTGATGTTCTTAACGTGTGTTTAAACAAGGCCGTTAGTGCGTGTATACATACAGTGTCGGAGAGAAGGCCATTAGAGCGTCTTGAAGTCACAGTGTCTAGGAGAAGGCCGATAGTGCGTCTGTTAGATACACCTATCGTGGATAAACGGAGGCCCTAGTGCGCGTTTATTCACAACCCGTATAGATAACAACACGATCCGTCATCATTGGTGCTTTCATTGAGAGGTGCTGATCGTGTTTTTGTCTATCCTATCTTTTTCTTTTTTTCGGTTTGCCTTTGCTGAGGGGCCGAATTTCTTTTTTTCTTTTGGTTCTATTTTTGTTTTGGGGGTTCGATTTTTTCAAATTTTTCCCTTTTATTTTTCTTAAGTCTTAAAAAAAAAAGTGTCATCTTGTTAGTCCTTTGTTTGTTTTTTGTTCGGCTATTACCTTTTGTTGAGGGGCCGAATTTCTCTTGTTTTATTTTTTATTTTTGGGTTCGAATTTTTTCGAATATTTAGAGTAAAAAAAAAAAAATGTCTTACCCACCATTGGATGAGTTAGATTGGGAAGATCTTGAGATGTTGGAAGGTTTGGAAAGAGAGCTCACACCATGGGAAGCAATATATCTTGATGAGCTTCATGAGCGAAGGAATATTGACGAGTACGAGCGTCAACTCATGGAAGCCCGAGAAGCAATCGTGATCGATGCTCATGACCATGAAGATGAAGGTGCGCTGAATTTTCTGATCCTTGAGGACAAGGAAAGTCTCGAAGAGGAGAGGAATGATACGGAAGTGGTCATCAACCCAGGCGAGTCGGAGGATGAGGGTGGCGATGGACTCGATATT